CTTTATACAGGCGTCTATTGGCTGAAACAGCTCTCCAGAAACTTGATCTTCACACTGCTGAGCAAGCTTTTGTACGCTATAAAAATTACCAGGGTATTAAGTTTGTAAAACGCCTTCACAATCTCCAGAGTGAAGCACTTAGGCAAGCTGAAGTGGCAGTTTATTTTGGAAAATTTGAAGAAGCCGAAAGAATGTATTTGGACATGGATAGAAGGTAATTGCTGTAGATAAATTTAATTATCCCAAGTATATAATAGCATTTGATGGAGGGAAGACATGTTTTTAAACTGATTAATTTTAAAGTGTGAGTGCATACATAAATTACATTTCCCAAACTGAACTCCTTAGAAGGACTAACAAGAACATGAAACATGAAGAAGGATTACAGAAAGGTCAAAATAGCCAATTTAAATTTGCATCATTCAAATGTTTTGCTTGACATAAAGTTGTTTTCAAAGATGCCCAGAGATCTCTGAATAACAAAAACAGCTTCATGTTGTTTCTCCCTTCAGGCTCTGCTCCTTTTGTACATGTGTGTGACATTTTGACTGATGTACAGAACAAGTGGAGTTGTGGTACAACAACACAAACACCGCTTTTGTCATTTGCCCACCCAATTGATTATCATCTTTGTTACTTAAAGCTGAATATTTTGTACAGCTGTGACATAGTTTTACAAAATACAGAGCATTTCTAACCATAATCCAATAATTTCTAAAGCTGGTCTTTGTAAAACAGGCCACTGTTACTGCAAATGATGCCAAAGCCAAGAAGATGAGATCTTGATTGTCCACTGAGATGAGACTTGAAACAATACTCTCTTCATTTGCTACCCTTTTCCCCCCCATTCAGTCATGTCTGATTCTGGGAAACTACCTAGACAAGTTGCTGAAGTTTTCTTGTCAAGTTTTCTTTTTTCAGAGGTTTGCCCTTGCCTCCTTTCTAGAGCTGAGAGAAAGTGAATGGCCCAAGGTCACCCAGCAAGCTTTGTACCTAAGATGGAACTAGAATTCACGATCTCCCAGTTTCTAGTCTGATACGTAACCGCTACAACTAAGCGTAAATAGCATTGTTTTTCTTTTGATAAGGTTGCCTATTTGTCACATTTACAGAGACCTTGCAGTTGACCTGCGAATGAAACTAGGCAATGGGTTTCGAGTAGTGCAGCTGTTGCAAACAGGCTCAGGCCATGGAGACGACAGCCTCCTTGAACAGGCGCACAATGAAATTGGAGAGTACTTCGCAGATAGACAGAAATGGTATGCTGGTAACTTCCAGTTGTAACCAATTGTGATTGTGACTGACTCAGATGGAGCATTTTTGCATTTTGCGGTGCAAAGGATAAAAATGGAATAGAACCGTGTATTTCTCTGATTGTAATTTTAATTAAAGAAATTGTTTTCAAGGAAAATAAAGAATTATTCTTTTGATAAACTGAAGTACAAAGTGACTTTAATGCAAAATCTGTTAACATTCTGTTACAGAATTATAAATAACTGGACATTTTTTTTTCAGAAATCATGCCTTTGCTTGATTACACCCTGAATATTCATTATACGTTTAACAATATTCACAAATCATCAGCCATTTATACCCCCCTCTTTTTTTTAACCATTGTAGGGCGAATGCAGTTCCCTACTTTGTACAAGGCAGAAACCATGAGCGTTTAGCTGAATGTTATTATATGCTGGAAGACTATCAAGCATTAGAAAATTTAGCTAACTCGCTTCCAGAAAATAACAAGTTGCTTCCAGTGAGTATAAGAATCAGCTTCTTGGGATTAGTTACTGTAAGTTGCTTATCTTGAATATAATCGATTAAGAGCCATAATGGCTCAGTGGTTAAAATGAAGTCTTGCAGGCTAAGAGCAGGCTAATCTGCCTATAGCTAGGAGTTCAATCTTGAACGGCTCAAGGTTAGCTCAGCCATCCATCCTTCCGAGTTTGGTAAAATGAGGGCCCAGATTGATGGGGGCAATATGCTGACTCTGTAAACCACTTAGAGGCACTGTAAAACACTGTGAAGTGGTATTTAAATGCTATTGCTAAGTTCTGGAAGAATTGTTTCTGGTTATATATGCTTATGATTGTATTCTGTATTTTGTTGATTTAAGCAAGTTTTTTATCTGAAAAAATAAATGCTTGTGGTCTGATTCTACTGAGGGTAACAATACTGAAGACATAAACAGAAATTTTAAAAACTGTTTTAAAATTTTAAAGGTTGTTAAAATGTGTTGTTTCTCATGTTGAAATGGAAATCTAGTAAAAAATATAATGCCATCCAATAAACTTTAAAAATGATATTTTTAATCATACATGACCTTTAAGATAAAAATAACCTCAGCCATATTCTTAACACATTTTTAAGATTGAATACCCAGAGGGGCTGTGATTGTGAAATGGCTATAATAAAAAAAGCAGCACAGCATGGGTTATACTTTAAATTTATAAAACTTGATATGATGTTAACTGGATATACTTCTATAAGTATATCAAAAATATAAAGAATTAAACACTGCAAAAGATGGTAATACGGTAATAATTCCCCTGATTAATCTTGGTTATCAGTATATTACATTTTGTATTTGTCACGTGCCAAATGAAGTTCTTTGCTGTCACCTGCCACAGTCAATTTGTTAGAAATTAAAGAGTTTTGATATTGTATGCTGCTACTCTTCTATAATGTAATAATACCTTTCTATATCTTTTAGGATATAAGCCATAAGTTTGTTACTGTGGGGATGAGTGAACAAGCTGTAGCTGCCTTTCTGAAATGTAACAGACCAAAGGATGCAGTAGATGTCTGTGTTAATCTCAACCAGGTAAAAAGCATAATATAGGAGACAGTGTTTAGGGGAGCTTGTTCATATTAATTTAATGGTTGCTTTCAATATAGCTTCCCTTGCAGCTTCAACTGGCAGCTAAGAGATTGAAAATACAACAAAATATAACAACCTAGGAATTTATGTATCCTCATATTCTGTGTCTCTAATGGCCAATTCAGAAATGACATGAGAAATATATAATCCGTTATCTTAATATCTAAAAGTAGGTAGCATGTTTGGAAACATAGTTTTCATCAGGGACCAATTTGAGAAGCTTAAAAGATTTTTTTCATGGGCCAATCCCCAAATATCAAAGATACATTCCATTCAGACAATTAACACTGAGAGAAAATTTATTGTTTTCTTCCATGGTTCCATTCAAAAGCTCTTGCACAACTAATTTTAGAAACATAAAGGAGGTCCAATCTAAGTATCTCCTGTCTCACATAGTTTGGCTACTTGTTTAAAATATGTTGTTTGAGAGTGGGGAGAAAAGATACTACAGCTAAACTATGGGAGAGTAATCCATGGATATATAACCTCCTGCCTCCATCCCATTTGTAGTCTCAAAAACACCCTCTGTATCAGTGGGGATAAAATATTTAATCAAACCATTTTTGGTTATTTAGACTTGCTGTCTAAATAACCCAAAACTTGGGTTCCTCCCCCCATTTGGTGGGGAATGTTAAGGGACAAAATGTGTAAAGAACCAATTTCACCTCTTAAAAACTCTCATCTCCCTAAACGATAAAACAGCTGAAATTTAATGATTGTATCAACCATATCCCTGCTTCCCTATGTGACAAAAAATATTACATTCAAAAGTAGGTACTACAGCAAGTACTGTAATGATACAGCAAGTACTGTAATAGACAAATATAAAAAAATGGAGATTCCAACTGGAGCTGGAATTACATTGTTAGTTAGGAAAGAGATTAATGCAGTAGCAACACAAATATATATTGATTCTCATGGGCATTTTATTATTATTAAACTTCTTTTCTTCAAGCAGCTCGTTTCTCTCCTTTTGAGAATCTCAATTACTTTATCCAAACATAGTCTTGTTGGTTTTTCATTTCCTTTCAACACATTCTCTCCTCTGTATATTTATTTTGCAATTCAATCTTCATTCCTTCTCACTATATGCCTATACCATCTTAATGTATTTCTTTTGTACCAGTCACTCACACACACACACACACACACACACACACACACAAAATACGCACTCTCTTTCACTCTGGGTCTGTTTTCCTTAAGTTTATTACACCCACTATTCTCTTCTTGTTTTATTGCACACTGTTGTGATGCACCCCACAGTCTCTGCTTTCATCTTACTTTTATGTTTTTTCTCGCTTACCAAATTCTGATTTTCACATAAAACAATGGAGAGAAGCAGGCTGTTATACACAACCTTTTCCCCTCCTTCTGATAAACATTCTTTCTACCGGCACTTAGTTAACATTCTGCTAAGGTACACAAATTAATGCATGTACAGGTGATCCTTGGGTTATGTCCATTCGCTCAGCGACTGTTCAAAATTACGATGGTGCTGAACTAGGGGGATTTACTAGTCCTCAAATTTCTAGTTGTCACAGTATCCCTACGACATGAATGTTGCTGAGTATCAGTTTCCATCATTCCCTGCCAACTTCCCACAAGCAAATTCAGTGGTGAAGCCAGCAGGAAGTCAGAAGTCATGGTCATGTGTAGTCCTTAACTAATGACTGGAAATTCAAGAACAGCCATCACTAAACAACAGTCATGTGACATTGTGCTTTATGACCAGTTTACTTAGCAATTCCAGTCCCAATTGCTATGCTCTATTTTTGCTATATTTGATATATTTTATAATCATTTGTTCCATTTTCCTGTTAGACTAAAAGTTAATTTTCAGATCCATATTCTTTGTTGCATCTAACATTTGTCTAGCGACATGTCATCATTTGCATTCAATATGTACAATCATGTCCTGACAAATATATCTTTAATATTACCATAATTATTTCTTAAACATTTGTACATAAATGTATTTAACTACTGAAGAAATATCACACATACTTGTATTATTTTATGCTCCAGGTTGAACCATTCCTTAGGCTTTCCACATGTATAAGAGTAGTACAGTAGTATACTGTAATACCCTTAACCAATCAGTAAGCAACTACAAGGGTATATTCTCACAAAATATTCTGTAATAAAAGCCTATTCTGTTTATCATGTTTTCTCTAATCCAACAAATGTACAATAAACTTTTTTTCAATAGAAGAGAATATCTGTAGCTCACAGTTTAGTGATAGAGCCCATATAACAACCAAACTCAGATAACTCCAAGGCCTGTAAGCTTTCATTCACACCATCATCCATCTTCCTGTGATTTCAGTTGCTATTTTGGGTTTTTTACATTAAAAACCCAATTCCAGCTCTAGTGATGCAAATAGTGAATTACAGGTAGTCCTCAAATTATGACTGCAGCTAAGACCAGAATTTCGGTCATAAGTCATGATAGTCATAAGTGGAAGTACCCACATCATTGGGCCCAATCTTACAGCTGTTTTTATGATGGTTGTTAAGCAAATCATGCATTAAGTCTGAATCCATTCTCTCAGATGAGTACTTTTTTGTCAGAAACCAGCAAAAAAAATACTGGAAACCAGCAAAAAAAAAAAACAACTTTACAAATGATGGTCATGTGACTATGGGACTCCAGTCATAAATGTTAGCCAGCTGCCAAGTACCCAAAATGTGAGGTCGTGACTGTGTGTGTGACATTTTATGATGGTGGGAAGTGCTTTACAATCCACAAGGCACCTTTTCCAAGGCTGTCGTAATGCCAAATGGTTGTTAAATCGAAGCCTCCCTATATGCTATTTAAGCTGTCACCTTATCACAAAAGACAATTCTTCCATTTAAAATACTGTTTAGAAAATCTCTTGTAACTCCATGACATTTAGTTATCTTAAGAAGCCATGTAAAAGGACATAATAACTTTAAATCTTATAGATTGACTCAGCCTTCTATCCTTCTGAGGTTGGTGAAATAATAAGATTGTTGGGGACAGTAGGCTGACTCTGTAAACTGCTTAGAGAGAGATAAGTGCTATTGCTATAGTACATGTTTATTTATTTATTTACTTTCCCACAACTCTGAGAACTGTTCCACAAGATTACAGCCCCAATATTTCCCAACAAAATGAAATGTACCCATGACCTAATAATTTTAAATTCTCCTAGATTAATTTATTTGATAAGAGACTACATTTATTTAAGACTTGGTCCTCAATTTAGATTCGCATTTATTAATGGTTGTTGCTTTTTCTTCTAGTGGAGTAAAGCTGTTGAACTAGCTAAGGAACATAACATGAAAGAGATTGGTTCTCTTCTAGCCAGATATGCGTCTCAGTTATTGGAAAAGAATAAACCTCTTGATGCTGTTGAACTATATCGTAAAGCCAATTATTTCTTTGATGCTGCAAAACTTATGTTCAAGGTACTGTTGTTAAGGGATATCTGGACAAAAAAGGGAGAGATAGAGTAAACAATGAAGTTTTAAAAATATCTGGTGGAATAGATTCTTCTTTTTCTGCTGCAGAAGATTTAGGGCACGTTTGGGCAGATACAAATGCCTACTGGTGTATTATGGAGCATACAGTAGCTTGATGTTAACTATTTAAGAAATTGACAGTTTTTATTCATTTGCCACTGATGCTTCTATTACTAGGAATACAGTAAATATGCACATTTCTCTTGTCTTACTATATATTTTATCTATTAAGGCCTTTATAGGCGTAAAGAAGATTTGGTGCACATCATTAGCATTTATCAGTTTGTTCAGCAATAGTTGTATTGTATTGAAATAGAAACTGCTTTTACAGCTTGTTTTTTCCTTTTTTTTTCTGAGACTCCAGGCCATGAGCATGAACCAATGTGGTATTTTTGACATACAGTTTTTTGGATGAAGTCTTATGAAGATACCTTTAACGTTGTATGCCTGTGATATTAAACTTGATTAAGTTTACTTTTCATATACAAATTAACATTTGGTTCCTAACTAAAAAAAAAAAAGCTGCAGATGTTTTTTACTCCCTCCAAAGAGATCCATATTATTCCTGTTTTTCCATTCTGCAACAGTGTTTGTTGTGGGTCATATTCAACTTAAAAAGAATGCAAAAAAGGCTTTGCTTCCAGGCAAGAGAGAAAATTGTTAAGGGGAAAACAGTTTGGAGTATTGTCAGTTTTTCACAAATGTCTGAGTAGGATATAAATCTATTTACTGTGCAAAATACTTTTATAGCCTTGGTTTTCCATATGGCATTGTAATTAGAAAATAAATCTAATTTATAATGTTTGTCTTTTTAAAGATTGCAGATGAAGAGGCTAAAAAGAGAACCAAGCCTTTACGGGTTAAAAAGCTATATGTCATGTCGGCTTTACTTGTTGAACAATACCATGAACAAATAAAAAATTCGCAGAGAGAAAAAGTCAAAGGAAAGACTTCAGAGGTAAAATTTCAGAAGGCTTCATTGACTCTATTGGGACTGCAAGGAACACCTATCAGTATAGAGTTGTGAAGTAATTTCTATAATGTGACAACTCATATTTCCTATCAATATTATCCAAAAATATTTAGAACACCCTTTGGAAAATGGTCTTACAAATGCATCCAGTCAAAATTATATGTCAAAATAGCATAGATTCCTCACCATAAGCATTTTGGAGTGAGAAATTAGTATCTGCAAGATGGTGGACACAACATTACGGACCATGCCCTCCCCCTTTTTTTGCATGTTTGTAATAATTGATGCACAATCAAAACACTCCATGCTCATCATCTTGCAGAAGCCACTGCTGCTCCTTACACAGTTTTCCTACATTTACATCTTCCATAGAAAAAAGGAAAAATCACAGAATTTCCAATGATACTTCTCCCTTAAGAAAAATTCTAATTAGTAGGAGGGAAACCTTAGATGAAACAGCTTCTTGGTCCCTTTTATTGACATTCAATTGTATATAGTGTGGCCTCGCCCTTGTGAAATGAATTGGTTCTGTGCATTGGACCATTATCCAAGTAAAGAGCCATGGTGACACACTGGTTAGAATGCAGTATTGCAGGCTAATTCAGCTCACTGCCAGCAGTTCAATTCTCACCGGCCCAGGATTGACTCAGCCTCCCATTCTTCTGAGGTCAGTAAAATTAGGACCCAGATTGTGGGGTCAATATGCTGGTTCTGTAAACTGCTTAGAGAGGGCTGTAAAGCATTGTGAAGTGGTATATAAGTCTAAGTGCTATTGCTGTTGCTAAATATGTTTGGTTTTTATGATGAATGTGTAATTTAAAAAGTAAACATGGGCTTACGTCCCTTTAAAAGCTTTTCCTGTTTATCTTCGCTGCTGTACAACTTAATATTGTTCATGAACTACATTATTACAATGCATGAAATGCACACTAACTTAATGTAAATAATAGGCTTGCTATCACTTGTTTACTTTCTTTTATTACATCTCTTATGCCAGGCTACTTCAGCCCTAGCTGGCTTGTTAGAAGAAGATGTTCTTTCCACAGACAGTCGCCTGATCGATAATGCTTGGCGAGGAGCTGAGGCTTACCATTTTTTCATACTTGCCCAAAGGCAGCTGTATGAAGGTTATGTAGATACAGCAATGAAAACAGGTACGATGCTGGCCTTTTTTCACTTTGGATTCAGGGGGCAATTTTTGCATTACGTATCCAGTCTTTAAGCAAATGTTTTCAGTTTCCTGTTCGGTATATCTAGCAAAATTCTTTCCTCAAAAGAAACCCTACTGAAATCATTAAAGATCTAAAACTCTTAGCCTGAATCATTTATGGCTATTGACTACTTAAGTAGTCAACTATTGTATTCCGGATATTGAACATTTTTCTTCCAGTTTTGGGATTTAGTATAGATCTTAAGAGTTCTCTTCTAGGCAGATCTTTCCTGTTGCTTGTATTAAACCACTTCATACTGTGGATCACAACAGTTGGGTGCCAGCCAATGGTTTCAATACATTAACATAGGAGTACTTATATAACAAAAACTGCTTATTTAATTTAATAGACGGATATGTTCTGAATCTATTGCTTTCTACATTAACAGCTCTTCATTTGAGGGATTATGAAGACATTATTCCTGCAGTAGAAATCTATTCCCTATTGGCTCTTTGTGCGTCTGCGAACAGGGCATTTGGTACCTGTTCAAAAGCCTTTGTTAAACTGGAATCTTTAGAAAATCTTAGTCCAGACCAGAAACTACAATATGAAGAACTTGCCCTGCAAATATTCACAAAACACTATCCTAAAGATAGCAAAAAATCAGACTTGGATGGTCTACTTGAAGAGTAAGCATGGTGTTTTTTTCTTGTAATTACAATACAATATCCTGAGTTTGCTGGAAATCAGTGGTGCAGCAGTAAAACTGCTTTTTCCCCAGAAGTTCTGTCTGTTCCCGAAGTCTATTTGGATTAAGGGAGAAAAACATGGGAGAAGGGAGAGAAGCGAATTCTCACTTTGCACTAATAGTTGACTACCATTATTTAATGCTTGATAATAAGTGAGCATATGATACAGCTCCAGATTTGGAAAACCAAATCCTCCCTCATTAATTGGTAATTGCATTTTCTGTAAAGATAGTCTCAGAATCGGAGAGTCCCATAGCAATTTTCCAAACAATTTTCCTGGAAATATTTATCACATATATAAATTGGAATTCCTTGCAGAATATAAATTAATCTAGGAATAATACTCATTTTGAGGGCATTCGTCTTACTTGCACACTGCATTTTTAATTTTAAAAATAATTGTATTGCAATTCAAACTTCTTCATTTTTTAAATCAGTCATATCTGTTGCATGCTGACAAAACATTTGTAATCCATGCTTGTAATCTTAAATTTGACTGGATGGCTAATATTGACATCTTGTGATGCTGTTTTTCTTCCTTGTGTTTTATAGGGGTGAAGGAAAGCTTCCAACGTGTGTTGCTACAGGAAGGCCCATCACAGAGTATCAGTTTTGGATGTGCAATATATGCAAGCACTGTGTTCAAGCTCAAGAAATCAGCAACTATAACTTCTGCCCACTCTGCCACAGTTCGGTGGCCTATTAAATTATGCAGGTGAAAACAACCATCTGTGTCTGTTAATGTAAGTATTTGCTCCTGGTGGGACTGGAATGGGGAAAATTCCCCTCAGAATAGCTTTGTTACATCCTCAAAAGTTGTCCCAGTTGAACCTAAAATTTGGGAAGCAAGGGACAACTACAGGGGAAAGCAAGGGGCATTAAGAAATAGATCCTGGTGTGTCTTTATGCATTAATTACAAATATACATGGTCTGAAATATTGAAGGGAGTTACGAAGAAGCATAAGCACCCACACAAGAGCAATTAAGTCTGTATACTTTTATAAAAAAAAACTAATTTGAATCCAGCTTTAAAATAGGCAACTGGGGAAGGTTTTTTTTTAAGTGAAAATAAGGATTTGATATAAACAAATATTTGCTTTCTTGAGTCAGGATCACTTTTGCACTGAAGTTCAAAATAATATATGTATAAAATAAATATAGATATGGCACTTCTTCAGCTCTTCACTGAAAAGATATCAGAGTTTAGTCTACAATTTTTAAATATGGGTATGTAACCCAAATAAAATGCATGGGTTGGTTCTTGCTACACTTACAGTCTCTGATCAGCTGTTTAAGCATTGATGGCAGAAGTCCAAGCCTTCTGAAATAGCTTACATTTTACATACAAGGTTCTCGGTCAAATTCAAGGCATGGCCTCTTCTGGGAAAAGGCTGGGAGAGATCTGTAACAAGAGGAAATACTTGATTCAGAATATTTAAAGCCTATTACCCCTTTTGCTCTCTTTTTCCGCTCTGACCTTCCTTCAACACTTTACTTTTATTCATAACATTATCTCCAAAAACAGCAAAGAATTTAGCAACATTAACTACTGAAGCAAAACAGCATAGCTAACAGAAGTTTTGTATAAAAACTGACTTAAATTTTTGATTACCTGAATGTTTAATAGAAACATATTTCTTACATGGAAAAGATTATATATTTGTACATAACTTGCTCCATAATTTTGATTATGTTCATTGTGTTATATGAGAAAAGAACTGTTTCTTTTTAAATCAATATTTATATAACCTACCTTTTCTGTAGTAATATTGAAATACACTGTTCAAAGAAATCAATATTGTATTTTTCCATGAAGAAGAAACAACTGTAACTGTAGAAAACTAAATGATAAAATGCATAAATAAAAATATAAAGTGGTATGGACAAATACATGGTTTATTACATAAAATGTCATTACATATATTATCCTGAATTTATTTAATAATTAAAATAAATTCCAGATGTATTCTCAATTTCCTATTCTTTTTTTATGTTCATTTCATGGTTCATGTTCATTTCAAGTTCCTTTTTCAATAAATTAAACATAAAAACTTGTGTGTTTTTTGTTTTACACAATCAGTGAATGTATTAATGGAAGATAGGAATTCCTGTGTATGTCTTCCACTATGTAAATTACACCAGATTACACCTCATTGAGCAATATATAACCACTGAAAATTAATTACTATTCAAACCCAACTCTCAAACAGTCCACAGCAGTCCTAGCACAATTTCTACAATTAATAACATTAATGTTTGGGGTATAAACTTTGTGGAAATACATAGGTACATATACTACAGACATAGTAGGAATAAACTCCTGATAATGAGGACAGAAATTACTCAAAGGTTGAGGAATTTCTTTTAATGAAAACGGAAAAGAAATCAGTTTAGATACTGTTCATTAGTGGTGAACTTTTAAGATAAGCAAGGTTGTTGAAAGCTGAATGGAAAGCTTAGGAACTTAAAATGGGATTGTATAGAGAGGAAGATGAAAGAACAATGATATTTTTATACAAGTCATGACCACTGCATTGTATTAGTTTTAATATTTTATAAATAAGCTGCTGTTGCCCTTTGGTAACTGGAAACCTATCTCAAACGCTGTATGGTGGATCAAAAGACCCATCCATCACTGAAGAGTGATCTCGTAGGGGATCCAGTCTTGGTGTGCTTTTCTCTGATCATAACAGCAGAACAACAGCATTGGGACTGACGATACAAGCTAGAAGCTTCACAGCCCTTGCTCCTCAGTAGTACTCAAGATATAGGAGACAACTGGAATGCTTAAGAAAGACCGCACTCTGCCTCTATTTTTCAAGTGTGGGTGTTTATATTGATATTAACATATAATTTAAACAGGAGCTCTGAGAAACATGTTTTCTTTTTTGCATGAAGGACAAATGTCAAGGAAATAAATGAAGACAGTGTTTACCTTTGATAACTTGGAGAATGCACAGTGTCAAAACAACCAAAATTCAAAGATATGTCACTCCTCTCAGTAGTTAATTCCATGACATACAATGGTTTCAGGTGGCTTGTGCCTGCTCTTGCAAAGGAATGGCTGAAGAATATTTATGTCCCCATAATTACAATCCACACTACCTAAGCAACACGCTTGATTTACAATGTGTCAGTGTTTCATTGCATATTTCCATTTTTTCAGAGCTCAATAACTTACCAATTAAAAGGCTGCATCAGCAGGAAATAAGATGTACTGACAACCTATGTCTCTTAATTTGTTTCTCTTCTAGTTCATGACAAGAGAAACAAATTTATGGCAACATTTTGTCATATGCTATCTTCAAATTGGCTTGCTTCCTGAAATTAAAATGTTTCTGGTTGGCTCTCAGAGAAGCAGCTAAATATATGCATATGCACCCACAAATAAAGAAGCAGCCAAAATACAGCCGCTGTCAACTTTACAAAGAGACCAAACAGGAAACGGGACCATGAAAGCTAATTCTACCGTATTGTAAGTTACATTAACAGGAACTGACAAGTCTCTAAGTTTTCCCGCCGTCACCCTTAGAGTCCAAAAAACTAGGGATGGTCTGTCCTGCACCTCTTGTTCTGTCCATTATACAGCTGCAGCCAATGCTGTCTCTTCTCTGAGTATTTCCTAGGCAGATCTGTTTGCCCCATCTCAGGCCTTTCCCACATCTCATTACAGGCACTTGTTAAACAAGGAATCCTTAACAGATTACTCACCCTTAACAGAAGTTGAATTAAACTTTCATTTAGCAACTTCAATTATTTTCAGAGATAATAAAAACAGTAATTATTTTCATGCATCCAAAAAAGAGCTTCTTAAGTGGGCTGTCCCTGCTAAAGTAAAGCAATGACCCAGGGGCCCTATATTAAATATATGTATCTCCAATATTCGGCTTACAGCCAACACATCTGCGTTAAGAATTTTAAACAAACCTGCCAATAAACAATTCAAAATCTTACTTCAATTGTTAATATGTAATCATTTTATTGTAAATGGACTGTGAATTATTGGATATTCACTTGAATTGAGTCTCCCAGTGATGAAATAGCAGGATCTCATCTAATTTCTGGAGCAAATTTGACCTTCACAATGAGCATTTGATCATTGTTAATCCTTTTCCTGATGTTTCCTTTTAGAAGAAATCATGTAAACTAAATCGGTATGTTCATGTGATTCTGATTTATTATGCTATTATTTACCAAATATGATCGATATGATTCGTGTGTGTTATGTTACCACTGTGAGTTGCTCAGAGTTTTGATAATGGAATCAGCACAAAAGCAACCTGATACAGAACAACTGTGGAGCAGGGTAATGTTAAGTCTGGGTAATGGCTACCTATGGTGAAAAGCAGTTGTTTACACTACTCAGGGCCAAAATGAAGAGAAACAAAAATACCCCATTTTCATTTCTTTTTGTAAAGGCAGCTGGGTTTACAGTTTAATTCAGTTTCAATGCCAGCATGGAAAAATATCTATGGCAGCCTCTTCTCTGCATCTCAGCTGGATATCACTTTTTTTTTTTTTTTTTTGCAAGAGCAGTCCCAGATTCCATGAGCAAAGAGGGAATAAGTCAGGAAGGAAAAACAGGGAATACTCAGAAGGGACGGAAAAGATCAGAGTGGGAAGGGCCAGCAATACCCAGTTTTTATCATGGTTCCAACTCCACTGTCCTTGGGTCCTATCTGCCTGGCCATACAATCCCAAACAGTCTTCCATGGGGAGGGGAATCTTTTCTCATCCTTTCTATAAGGACACTGTAGAGGACTTTAATGAATTCATCCTCAAGAATGGTAGAAGGAACAACAAGGATCATACAACACATCAATCAGGGGTGGGATTCTACCAGTTTGCACCTATTTGCTAGAACAGGTTGTTAACATTCTAAGCAGTTCAGAGAACCAGTTGTTAGAAGAAATTGCTGGCCTAATCCTGTAAGGAAGACAGGAATGAAACATTCTGGTGTTGCTTACAGAAACTGCCTCTCTGTTAACCCTTATTACATTCTTGGCAGGACTAGACTTCCTGTCTCAGGTACTTCTCTGGAGTTTTTCCCCCCCTCCTTTGCTGGTACTTTGCTTGTATGGAGTGACCATTCAAAGTTACAATGGCACTGAAAAAAGTGACTTATGACCATTTTTTACACTTACGACTGTTGCAGCATCCCCACAGTCATGAGAGGCCAGGCGAGGAGATGCGTGCCTCGATGTGAGTGATGTTGACTTGGCCACGCCCAGCCAGTCACATGACCACCAAGCCACGCCCACCAACTAAGCCACGCCCACAGAACCGGTTGTTCAAAAATTTGAATCCCACCCCTGACGTCAATGTTCGGGAAAACATAAAATCATCCTCAAAAAGTAACTGCCTAAAATCTATGCAATACTCAGTCATGTTCAAATCAATTACAATGTACTGAATGTTTCCCAAAGCTAGAAATTTGAGGAAAAGGAAACTGCTGCTTCCTGTGAAGTTGATTTTCAGTCTGGTGGAAGTAGATTCTAATTTAGCAACAGGAATGAAAGGGGGTTCCAATTCTGCTTGGATGAAAATCAGCTTTTCAGAAGGCTAATGTCTAATTTTCTCTCACTAGAATTGCAGCAGATATTTCTGGAAATGTGGAAAGTGCTGCATCTAGGTGTAATTTGGCGGCGCACACTAAAATTCAGAGATCTTGCCAAACAATCAACAAAGCACTTGGTCAAGTTACAATTCTATTTCTGCAATAAGAAAAAGATTAACTTAGAAGTTGCACATTGTTTTTAATCTATCTGAAATCAAAGTTTGAATTGCACTAGAGAATCTATTGTCAAAGGCAAGTATTTCATCTTTTGTGGGAAAACAAAAATGCTTCCTGACTGTAGGGAAATGTGAACAGCACTGAATGTGACTATCTCTAAAGTATAAGTCTCTCTCTCTCTCTCTCTCTCTCTCTCTCTCTCTCTCTCTCTCTCTCCCTTCCTCCTCTCCCCCTCTCCCGCTCCCTCTCTTTGTCCCCCAGAAATGTTGCCAAACCACTTAGTCCACAGATTTAGTATCAACTCAAAAAAAATCCTTCATCTCTGCAGCCATGGTTTATTCATTACACAATTCATATTCCCAAGGTTAATATCATTTGGAGAAGAGCAGGTGACCAAATGTTTGGTTGACCATCAAAGTCAAACATGATTGATGAATCCCGTGTAATAAATTTATAACTCCTAGACACATCAAAAGCATTTGCAATGCTATCAAAAATTTCCACACATTTAAAAAGGTGTTTTGTTCACACAAGCCTGGCTATCTTGATTTTTCTTAAGTCAAAGACTTAAGAACACAAATCACACCCTTGCCATCTGGAGGATCTTACTGTTTTTGTTATTACTTGAGGATTATACTATCTCTTATTAATATCTGAATTCATTACAGAAATAATATATAATCCAAAGCTATGTTGTCCCAAAAAGTCCAAACAGCTACCTAATAGACTCAATGCAACCAAATACTTCTTAAATATAAAGCAGACTAATCAACAATGAAATCATTAAAGCACACATGTCAATAATAACTTCGTTATTTATATGTTATCTCGGTTTGTTTTCAGTGCTTTGCATAAATATAACCCAATAAAATAAAAGTAACCTGAAAAGCATTTTAAATCCAGTTGAAGGGAAATAATGCATGACTAACTGGAATTGAGAAAAACATCTTTAGGTATTTCATGTGTGAGGAGTCAAATATGAAGATTCTGTAATACTATCTAACTAGCAGGTCAATCAAATATGTATATCCACATTGTCAAATCATGAATACTGTAAAAAGCTCTGTATTGATTGATTGATTGATTGATTGATTGAGATAATTTGTATTCAGTTCACTCCATTAATGACTTATGGCAATTTACAGGAATACAATGACAACAACAAGGATACAGCT